CGAATTGTGAATTCTTATCATTTGCCTTGTGTCATTTGTGTTACATTCTTAATTTATATGACATGAAAATAAAATTTGGATTCTAATTATTGTACTTATGCCCGGCAACTATTTTCTTTTCTAGGAATGTGGTGTGTGAGAGGTACATTTTCTTTTCTTTTTTTTTTTTTGGTACCGGGGATTGAACTCTGGTACTTGCATTTGCGAGGCAGGAACAATTGAGCTAAATCCCCAGCCCTGAGAGAGTAATTTTCTTTTAACATATATTATTAATTTTATTTAATGACTTTTACATTTACTAAAAAAATTTTAACATTTGGCAGTTAGATGCATATAACCACCACTTTCTTTTCTTTTTTTTTAAATTTTAAATTGCATTTATTGGTACATTTTAGGTATACAGTATAGTCACATTCATTATTGGGATCATATACCTTTACATGACAGGTCTTGGTTCTCATTTTTTCCCTTGTCCCTGCCCTCCCTTCACCCCCTCCTCCCCTCCCTGTTTATTTCCATTTTTTCTTTTTCTCATATTTTTTTTTCTCCCTTTTTACCTTTCCCCTACCCTTCACACTTTCCCTACACCTTTAGCCCTTTTCTTCCTATTTCACATTGTCAATTATCTCATTAGGATCTTATGTACTATTATAGTTTTTCTTTGTGAGTCTGTGCCTCCAGCAACAGTCTGGAATGTTGGTTTATCTTTGTATTTCCATTATAAGACATAGTGCTCTTTATGTCATAGGTATTCTGTGTTTGTTCAATGAATGCATTCAGGAGGGTTTCTGCTACCCATTTGACAACTTTTCAAGAATTAGGAGGATTAAAAATTATAGAAGTAAACAGTTTTTATTGTAATTAAATGCTTTGCTCCTACCTGCTAAACAGTGCTTCAAATTTTACCCCTTTAGATGTAGAACCATCTATACATTGTAACCCTCGGTTTCAAAGACTAGCTTAACTGTCTCTTATCTGTATATTGTGGGTTGGTCATCAAACCTTTCCTGTCTTTACCTTCATTGCTTATAACACGGAAGTCATACCTGCCTTTTTCTTATGATTATGATAATGAAATGAAATAACATGTAATCACTTTATATAAAGTTTTTATTAATTACACTTTTACATGCTATACAAGATTTGAAAAAAATCCTATTTTGAATTTTTAAGATGCATTGACATGAAAAATAGTTTTACATTCAAGCTTGATTTTAGGTCTTACATTTTAGTAGCTGCTACAAAGTTAGTGAAATGTTAAAATTTTAAGATATAAGAATTTTTTATTCTTAAAATGTTTATTATAGTTAATAAGAACAACTTTTCTTTTTTGAGACAAGGTCTCACTCAATAGTTCAGGCTGGTTTTGGACTTACTGTGTAGCCCAAGCTGGCCTTGAACATGCAGCAATCCTCCTGCCTCAGCCTCCCAAGTGCTGGGATTACATACATGTGCCACCACACCTGTCACAGGAACAATTTTAGAAAGTTATTATCTTTGACATTTCCTAATTTTCATATATACTTAAAAATAAAAACTAGTTGATTTTAAATTTTTATTAGTACACGTTTGCTGTGCATATCGACTACATCAATTATTGAGAGGTTGGTACATGTACATAACACGTATTATTTTTTAAATTCTCTTGCTGTCTCTTCCCTCCATTTCTAGTTTCCCTTCTCATTTGCAGCTGTCTTCCTATTTCATATTATCTGTGTTTAGTTTTGCTTTTTATACAGTTTCTTATATAAGAGAAGCCATGTGATATTTATGCTTATGTGTCTGATTTATTTCACTTGACATAATGGTTTTAAGATGTTTCCATTTTCCTATAAATTACTCATTTATATCTTCTTTACAGTAGAGTGTATAAATTCCACATTTTCTTTATCTGCTCCTCTGTTGATGAACATCATTGACAAGATTTAACTATTATGAGTTGTGCTGCTATAAAGATGAGTATGTATGTAGCATTGTGATATGATGTCTCTTTTGGAAAGATACTTACAAGGTAAATGGCTGGGTCAAATAGAATTTCAGTATTTATTTTTTAGGGCATCTCCATACTGGTTTCCATAGTAGTTGCATTAGTTTTTATTCCCCAGCAGCCTTGCCAGCATTTGTTATTTGATTTCTTGATAATAATTATTCTTTCTGGAATAAGATGGAACCCAAGTATTGTTTTAATTTGCATTTCTTTCATGAGATGTTGAACATTTTTTCATGTATTTGTTGGCCATTTGTACTTCTTCTGAGAAATATCTATCTATTCATTTCAATTGCCCATTTTTTTATTGGGTCTTTTATTTTGGGAGATCTAACCTGTTTGAATTCTTTATATATCCTAAATATTAATTCCCTGTTTGAGAAGTAGTTGCAAAAATTATTTCCAATTGTTTCTTTTGTCATGCAGAAACTTTAATTTGATGTAATCACATTTGTTGATTCTTGATGTTATTTATTGTGCAGTTGGAGTTCTGTTCAGAAAGTCTTTATGCCTATATGTTCGAGTTTCATCTATTTTATCTTCCAGCAGAGTGTTTCTATTTTTATATAGAGGTATGTGGTAAGAAATATGCATCTGTATTCAGTCTTCTAAATGTTTATAACCAATTATCTCAGCACATTTGTTAATGAGGCTATCTTTCCTCCAGTGTGTTTTTGGCCCCTTTGTCAAAGATCAGAAGACTGACTGTGCCTAGGGTTTGTGTCCTTTATTTTGTTCCATTGATCCACACATCTGTTTTTATGGCAGTATTGTGGTATTTTTGTCATTGTAGCTTTGTAATATAACTTAAACTCTGAAGTCTTGATGCTTCCTCTTTTGCTCTGGTTTCCCAGGATTGCTTTTATTCTGTGTCTCTTCTGGTTCCATATAAATTTGGGATTTATTTTCCCTAGTTCTTTGAGTAGTAACGCTGTTGATATTTTGATTGGGATTATATTAAATCTATGTATCAGTTTTGATAATATGGCCATTTTGACAATATTGGTTCTGCCTATCCCGGAATAGGGCATATCTTTCCATTTTCTGATGTCCTCTTTGATCTTTTCAAGATCAAAGTTTTCCTTATAGAGGTCTTTCACTTTCTTCGTTAGGTTAATTCCTAAGTGTTTAATTTTTCTCAAGGATATTGTGAAAGATACTGCTTTTTGACTTTCTTGCTGGGTGGATTCATTGTTGGTGTACAGGAACACTATTGATTTTTGGGTATTTTGTGTTCTGCAAAATTGCTGAATTCATTTATTAATTTTAGTAGTCTTTTGATGGAATTTCTTGCCTTTTCTATATAAAGGATCATTTTATCTGCAAATAAGCATAATTTGAATTATTATTCTTTTATACATATCCCTTTGATTTCTTTCTTTTGTCTAATTGCTCTGGCTAAAGTTTTGAGTACTATTTTGAACAGGAGAGGCAATAGTGGACATCCTTGTTCCTGATTTAGAAGAAAAGCTTTCAGCTTTTTCCCATTTAATATAATGTTGGCTGTAGGTTTGTCATAAATGGTTTTCATCATGAGATAATGTTCTTCTGTACCTATTTTCTTCAGTATTTTTATCATGAATGGACATTAATTAGATTTTGACAAAGGCTTTTCTTCATCTATCGAGTTGAGCATGTGGTTTTTGTCTTTGTTTCTGTTTATGTGATGTATTACATTTATTGATTGGTGAACTGATTTTTTTATTTGTTATTTTGATGTCTCAGTAGTGGAGAATTATCTCCTTAGTTTTCATTGTGTCTTAGAGTTAGTCTTTCTGAAATTAGGCAGTGTTACTTTGGTTGACTTTGCAAATATTTAGGGAACAGTTTGCAACACAGAGTGATTCATGAAGTAGAGATGTTCATTTTTCAGGATAGATGTGTCTAAAAAAATCAACCTTAGGGACTTTTGCAAAGTGATTTTTCTTAGTACAGAATGAGATCATCTCTTAGTATATTACATTGATAAAATTTGTGAAACTTACATATAAAATCGGAAAATATTTATTTCATGAGCAACGTTGCTATTATCCTCTGGGATCTCTTATTGTTATAACTGGTGTTTTTATTTTTTTTTCTCTCTGTAGGGAGAATTATGAGAAGCTAAAGTGTAATCACAATATTTCTTCCTAAGTTTGGAATTAAAGTGATTTTTAAAATGTCATCCAATTAGTTTAGCACATCTCACAATAAAGATGGTCCTTCAAATATGACTAGAAAACTCTGGATAAATGTTTCTATCTCTTCAGGAAAGTGTTTCTGATTTTCTTTGGATGAACTAGTTTTTATTTTTCCTATTTCCAAGGTGGTGGTTAAAACAGTCCGTGTGCTTATAAACTGACATCAAGATCTACTTTGGATGAGATTAAAAAATAAATTTCTTAGTATTCTTGCAGATTTTTGTGAATAAAAATGTTTAAAAGTAACTTTGAATTTTGAAATTATTTAAAATTATTTATTTTTAGGACTATATAATTATCTTTGGTTCTATGCTATCTCTAAAAATAATTATAATCAGCAAAAATTGTTATAGATACATTTTACTGTACTTTCACGTATTTATTTTTAATAATCAGACTTATAATGTTTGCATATCCTTTGGTCCCAAATATTCATTGAGTAAAGTTTTGATTATTAGGAAAGTATTTCTGGGTGGTAAAAACAGATTATATGAAATTTTAAAACCTGAATTTAAAAATACATTTATTTCTTGCTCAATAGTGTAAGGTGAATGGAAAGCAAACCTTTTCTCAAGGTCTTAATGAAGAGCAGCAACATCAGCCTCCAGTTAAAAAAGGTAAAATTTCACCATAATTCCCAAATTTCATCACAGAATACTTTATTATTCATATAAAGTTAATATTACTTTGTTGCTTAGCTATATACCTATGTATGAAAGAAATTCTATTATATTTTTAGATTGACTTCTCTCCATATTAGTCAAGTTACCAATTTGACAGCTCTAAAAGATAGAATAACATTGGTTTAAACAAGGTGAAAATTAATTTTATATTTTATACATCATGTAAAATTCTAAGCTGGTATACTGGGTGTACTGATTTTGTTCTGTGAAGTTGGAAAATCAATGATAAATTATACCATATTAACAGAACACGACTATCTCAATTGATGCAGAAAAAAATCATTTGACAAAATCCAGCACTTTTTCCTGATAAAACTTCTTAGCAAGTGAGAAACGGGCTCATTAGCAAGTAATAAAGGGAACTTCTTTGTCATGATAAAGATTGTCTATGAACTATTAATATCATGCATAATGGTGAAAAACTGAACGCTTTTTTCCTAATATCAAGAACAAGATAAAGTTATCTATGTATTTAGAGCTAATAAATTATTTCAACAGAGTTGCAAGAGAAAATAGCATTGTTCGTGATTTTAGAATTTGAGTCATTTATTTTTCAGGCAAAGTAAAGGTTGAATAATTTTTATCTTTCCAAATAAACTTTTGATTTAATTATTTTTATATTATCTAGCTTATCTCCACTTTCACCTTTATTATTTCAGCTTCCCAGAGTACTGGGATTACAGGCCATCTCCTCCTTTTATAAATGTTAGCTTGTATAGCTGTGAACTGCTATGGGCACTATCTTTACTGTGTTCCATAAGTTTTAGTATATTGTGACTTTGTTTTCATTTATCTCAAATGTTTTCTGAGTCCTCTGTTATTCTTTGATATATATAACAATATATATATTAATTTCTGCATATTCCACTTTTCTGTTATTGCTCCCTAATTTCATTCCATTGTAGTCAAAAGGATATTTTACATGAGTTAGTCTTTTTAAATTTATTGAGTCTATTTTACAGCCTAACATATAGTCCCAAAGTGGTTTGTCCCTCTCAAAACTCACATTCAGGCCTAATTTGCCAGTACACTGTTATTTGAAGCAAAAGGACCTTTCAAAAAGTTGAATAGGTTAAAAATGGATTAATGCTGTCTCTTTAGAGTTCTGGTTTGTGGGTACTAGAATAGTAGTTGAGAAGGAAGGTTGTTAAAGTGAGCCTAGAACCCCTGAATCCTTCCAGTGCTAATTTCCTGCTATTATATAATGCCACCTACCATGTTATGTAGCCAGGGGGCCTTGTCCAGAAACTAGAATTATTAAGCCAAATAAACCTCTTTCTATATTGCCAAGTATCAAGTATTCAACTGTAACAACACAAGTGGATATGACTCTCCCAGTAAGAATTTGTTTCCTTTGAAGAAACCAGTATTAGCTGTAATCCATAAATTTAATTTAACATACTGTATTTTACTGTCACTTGGTTTGAAATATTTTTAAATTTCCTGATTATTTAATCTTATAGAATTTTTGAAATGTGTTAATTTCCAAGAATGCTTGTTTTTTCTGAATTATTATCATGGATTTCCAATTTAATTAGGTTAAAGAATACAATCTGTATTATTTTAAGCCTTTTAAACTTAGGCTTGTTTTACAGTCTAGTCTGTTGACTCTACTGTATGTACACTACTTGAAAAGAACATATATTTTGCAGTTGTACATTAGCTGAATCAAAGTGGTTGACAGTATTTTTCAAATTTATCTTTTTACTGTTTTTTGTGTCTAGCTCTATCAATTGCTGAACAAGAGGTTTTTACATTACATGCTGTTATGTCCTCCTTTATTTTTGTTAAACTTTGCTTTACATATTTCAAAACTTGGTTATTAGGCACACAACATTGATACTTTTCTCTTTGTACAAACTAAGATAGCCACTGCAGCCTTATTATTTCTAGACTTTGAACAGTGTATCTTTTTACATACATTTACTTTCAACTTCAGTGGGGCTTTATAGTTAATGTATATTGCTAGTGAACAGCATATAGAGTTCTTTTTTTAATCCACTCTGTCACTTTGTAACTTTTAGAATAACGTTTAATATAAGGGCCAGAAAACTATAATTTTCAGGCTAAATGCTTGTTTTGGTAAATAAAATTTTGTTGAAATAGAGCCACACTTTTCACTTATATGTGACTATGTTTTGAGTTTTCTTTCATATATATATATATATATTTATGTATATTTATATATCTTTATGTGCATTCCAGAAGGATCCCCTATCCACACACACTGGATACGGGATTTTGAGTTGTCAGTTAATATTTTTTATTTTTTGGAAGTTCTGGGGATAAAATTCAAGGCCCTGTGAATGCTAGGCAAGCACTCTTACCACTGAGATACACCCTCAATGACTGTTCTTTTCTCTTCATACTTTAAAAATATTATTCTACTATGTTCTGGCTCAGCATATGTCTGTAACAGTTTCTGGGTATCAAGTCAGCAAGTATTGTATCTGATTCATTGTTCTATCTGAGGATCTTGTTTGCCTTTACCTAGCATAGCCTTCAACACACAATAGATACATACTAAATGATTCTTGAATTAAAATTGTATGTTTTTTTTCAAATCATTCACAGATTTATTTAGAAGTGAAGATGAAGGTGCAGAAATGTAAAATATGTTAGGTATATTTTTTTCTTTCAAACAGTATCCCAAGTATGGCATAAGTAGTCTGAAATTACAAAATATGAGGGGTGATTAAAATATACACTGAATGTTTAAATTAAAACAATTTTCATTAGTGAAAGACACACTGCTGTTAATCCCTTTCAAAATACTTCCCCTTGCTTAAACACACTTATCCGATTGCTGTTGCCACTTTTCTGAAGCAGTTCTCCAAGAGGTGTGATCAAATCCACAGTGAATACTGCTGTGGAATGCCATTCAGTGAAAAGCAGGCTCACTTAACAACATTAGTGTGTCTGTGTCTTTATCCTCCTTATTCACCAGCTGGCCTGACTTCTGATTTTTTCCCAAAAGCAAAATGACTATGGAAGATAAATTTTTTGAATCAATTCAGGACATTAGGACAGTCACAAGAGTCCAACTAAACACACTCATGAAAAAGGACTTTCAGACTGCTTCAGAAAATGTCAAGAATGATGGGAAAAGTGTGTTTGAAATGGAGGGAAATATGAGGGGAATTTATGGCAGTGTGTCATTTACTGTAATAGAGTCTTTAAAATTTTTAAACATTAACCATATTAACCATCTTGTTCAATCACATCATGTACTTAAGTGGGCTTTTAGTTATCAACACAGACTGCTAGAATGTAAATTAAGTTAACCAAATTAGCACATCAAATAACAAAACCAGCCATTAAGCAGGCTGAGAAGCATTGTTTCATATATGAGTTTTTAAATCATTTAATTTCTATAGAAAAATGTTATTCACAATATACTGTGAAATTGCCACAGGAATGATATACTGATTGCAATAAGGTTGCATGCAGCAGCAGCTTTGTATTTTATAGCTATTTTTGTTTATAAAAATTAAACCTCTCCAGTGATGCTTACCACATGTTCTTAGATTTGTAATGTAAGTGAATAAGGAATACTATAAAGTTCAAAGAGAAAATGTCTCCTTTAATGTGAATTATCTGTAGTAAACATAAAGTTCAAAGAGACAGTGTCTCATTTGAATGTGAATTATCTGTATGAAGCATAAGGTATACTACAGAACTCCGAAATATGCACATCTAGGTTTACTTTTTTGTCCAGTTTTAGGCTGTCTGCAGTCGCTTATCTGATCGTCTGTAATTGTGGTTGTATCAGTTGAGGTTGCAGTGTTGGTGGTAACTGAAGCGGTACCATTGATTCCACCAACTGTCCTGGGTTTAAAGGTGGAAGAGCCACCACAGTAAAATTGTTTTGATTATATTAATTTTGAGTATTGACTGAGATTAACTGAAGTTCCATTTTTGCATGTCCTGAATTGACCAGTAGATGTTACTGTTGTGATACTTTATAATACAAAATAATTTTACTAGACCTGAATAAACAATCAAGAAAAGTCCTGCATTATCAGTTTCATCGAACAATTCTTTCTTTCATTTTAAAAAATTACTTATCTTCCTTTCCATGTTAAAGGAAATTAGAGGTGGTAGAGGTTTTCCAAAGATTTTTCCTTCTCTTTTGATTGAATACTCTACTCATCATTTTATAAATAATGGATATTTCAAGGACATCCAGTAAAAAATGAGCCAAAATGTGATCTAGGAAGTACTGGGGATTAAGCTCAGGGCCTTTGCACTGAGTTTATCCCCAGCCCTTTTTTTTTAATTTTTCAATTTGAGACAGAGTCTCACTAAGTTGCTGAGTTGCTCAGGCTGGGCTCAAACTTGCAATTCTCCTGAGTCAGCCTTCTAGAGTGCTGGCTTTAGAGGAATGCACCACCACACCTGGCTGAATTTTGTGCTTTTTAACATTATATGTAATGTTTAATATCATAGAGAGAATTAAATACAGCAGAGATTTCCTGTTGAAGCTCTCAAGTGTTTCCATCTGCAGAAAAAAACCAGATTTTCTGCCTGATCATCCCATTGTACTTCAAACACCAGTAAGTAGTTTTCTGATTTCATACTATTATATTGTATTCTAAGTATTTGTCTTCAATATTTTTTTATTCTACCTGTAGGTTCTTAACTTTTCTCATTGCAAATATTAGTAATCCAGAACAACACAAAAGTCCAAATGTGCAATATAAACCAATTATTATAAAATAATCATTACTCTACTCAAGAAGTATAATGGAATAGTTATATTTTAGTTATGAAATATTTTTCTGTTTAAAGGTCATGAAAATATCATCCTTGGGCCAGGGATTTGGCTCAGTGGTTTCCGCCACCTGCCTTGTAAGCACAAGGGCCAGAGTTCAATCCCTGGTACCCCCCAAAAAAAAGAAAAAAAAAAGGAAAATATCATCCAATATCTAAAAGTTCTGTTTTGTTTTTCAATATGTTCTATAATCCCCCTGGAATTTATTGTATCATACAAGGTGGGGGTCAATTTTTAATTTTTTCTATATGTATATCCAGTTACTCTAATGCTATTTGTTGGAAGATTGGTTCTCTAACATCTATGTAAAAATATATAGCCTGTTAATGGCTTCTTTATCCTCTTCATTTAATTTAGTTTTAAAACAGCTAAGCAAGTCATCCTTGTTATTTTTCTTAAATTTGCTTTTGGTTTTCTGAACTCTATTTCTATGTCACCCCATCAAATCCATCCAAGTAAATATGCACTCTAAATATGTATCTTTTGGGATTATTTGTTGGAAAGCACATGGGTTCTGGCTTCAGCCTTGGGTTCTGATTGTATCTCCACTCATTATTGGTAGTTCAAACTTGGGTAGGTCACTTAATCTTGAATGAAGGTTTTACAATTACAGATAAGAATGATAACTTCTCGTGTCAGGATTAAATATAATACACAAGAGTGCTTAGGATGATACTGATCTCCTTATTTTACTTTGGCTCAAATTTTACTTGGAGTTTTAACAAATATTATTTTATATAGGCAAAGGCAACCAGGATTGTGTTAGGGTGAGACTCAGAATATAGGTACCCTAAGAATGGATCAAATGTGAGATTTGGGGATATTAACCCTTGAAAAATCAATAGCATTTATTTCCCTAGTTACAATTTTTAAAAACTCTATATTCTTATAATTTGTATTAAAATTTCATGTTATAACTTATATTAATATTTTATAATTTAAACCCCTTAGACATGCTTAGCCAGTTTTTAAAAAAATTAATTAAATCGAGAATTAAATTTTTTTCATATTATTTCTCATACAGTAATATTTAGTGAGGAAAAATGTACTTGATGATACTTGAATTTTCTTACCTCTTACCAGAGATCTTAGGGCTATAGAATCCTTGGTCTGTGAGAATAAATATAAACTTTAGTGCTACATAAAATGTCACTTTTTTATGTTCACATTTTCCAATTTATGACACTTTTTATTTTGTAAGTAAAAGTTCAACATACACTTTATTTAGAACAAACATATACATTAGAATTAGTTTATTTTGCTTTATGCATTAATAACATGCATAAAACTAGGTACCACAAAACAAACAACAGGTTTGAAATACACTTTAATATATTTAAAAATGAATTACATAGGTTTACTGACACAGAACTTTTTTTGACAATTCCACTTTAATAGTTTCTATAGTAACATGCATTTAGATGTGTATACACTAAGCAGAGCACAGTATTTGCTTTGAGAACTACTTTGTAAAAACTGAATTCAATTAATCTAATTGACAAATCAACTTTCTTTATTGTTACAGAAAAACACCCAAAATTTTAAGTAGAATTTTAAGAACAGACGGATTTGAAGATAATGAATTATTTGTTTTATATTTTGGACACCAGCAAATGAAGTGGACCTGGTAACACTACCTAATTGACCGTGACAATTGAATTTATTTTAAATTTTGATGGTTGGATGTTTGGCTTCTCCTAAAATGAGAAAGAGATATTTTAAACTGTAAAGATTTTCTAATCAGATTTGTAAACAGTTTCCTGCAAAAACTGGGAGGAACACTGGAAAGTAGGAATTTGGTTAGTGAAGTGGGAAAGACTGTATTTATAATTTGCATGATACTTGCAATTTTTGTTTTTCATGAGTTGTAATAATGGAATGGAAATGTAAGCTGTAAAGATTCTCAAATATAAAGTATTTCTGACAATGTACGTAATTTCTCCTTTCTCCGAAAAGTTCCTTTTCTATTTTCCACTAATTTCATACCTACCAGCTCTTGAACAGATCATTATGTTCTCTTTAGAGGTGTAGAATGATTCAGGATGCTCAATACATAGTTGTCAATGATAGTAGGGAGAAATTTTAAATAGACATTTCTTTTCAAATATATAGTTGTCTCAAGTTTTTGATAATGAACATTGTCTTAGATTAATGATTAGTAAAAGAGATTAACATTGTGAAAAAATGGCAGCAAATGAAGTTGAAAAATAGTTGCTATTTTTGACATTAATCAGACCACATGAACAGAAGTTGAGCAACTGCAAACTAAAACTAATATTTTTATTTATAAAAGTCGAAAAATATAGGCATGTGCATATGATTGAGATGCATTAAGTTTTAATTCTATAATTTCTTATAACAAGAACATAGGTAGATAAAGAAACGGGGTTCAGACTTTTAATTCCTGGAAATTTCATATAGTAAGTGTCCTACAGGTTTTAACTGAGCATGTTACTGTCATAAAAATAGTTTTTTTTTAGCACAGTGTCAAAAATTGCTGATATTAAAGGTAAGTATATACTTTCCCTACTTCTGTTCTTACACATCTCTAGATCTATTGTCAAGTCACTCATCACTAGGCAGAAAGTTTTATTTTTCACTGGAATGTAAACTTCTAAAACAAGTACTTATTTTCTCATTAATTTTTGGGCTTGTTATCCATATTAACCTTTTTTGTCCATGCCAGCTTTCCCATCTTTTTTGTGCCTTCTTTTTCAATGCTCTGTTTCTCAGAAAACAGGAAAAATACTTCTATTACCTGTAAATTTTTTGATTACTTTAAAATGGGATGTTTATACTTGAGGCTCAATTTTTCAATTGTTTTTTCCTACTATTTACCTTTTGTACTTTAAGTTATAATTCATATATATATGTATATGCATACATACATATTTATGTGTGCATAAACACATAGTCATAAGCAATACTCTCATAAACATATACAAAAATATATGTGTAAGAACCAGGGTCAGAATTAACATAAATTAAGATGGGTTGCTTCATTATTTGTCTATCCTTAATTTTATTTGGTTCTAGTTTAAAAGATATGATAGAATTTATTCCAATATTCAATCTAGAGAGCTTTTCCATTTAGTACCATTACTGGGCAGAATCCTGTTTTTAGTCATATTATCAAGGTACTTTGAAAACTGTATCCAAAAGACTTGATATGCTTTTTAGAGTTGGATACTGAATGGACTAACCAAAGAAATATTTTGACTAATGAAAGTTGTCCTTTTGAAACCCTTTATAACTGTTTCCAAGAAGAGTTTGTATGTTGAAAGTCTTGAAGTTTCAAAGTCTTTTGATCCTTATTACTATGTGTAATCAGAGTGAGACTCCAAAGACTCTTGCTTGACTTTGTACATATGTATAGCTTGTTTGAATAATCATTGTACATCTCTATTAATGTTGTTCTCGGCTTTGTATATATATTAAAAGTATTGAGCCAGGTGTTGATTCATAATGCTTGTCATCTTTAGAATTGAACACACACAGTCTGTGTCAAAATTTACTACTTATGTCTAAGAGAAAATATGAAAAAATTCCTTAATTTTATTTAGCCTGAATGAGGAATGAGGGTATACAAAGGCATTAATAAAAGTTAATGTTTCATAGGTTCGTTTGCAAAGATATTTTAGGTCTAATTTTACATTTATGAAATAAAATTTTAATTTGTTTCCTTCCCCAAGTTTTCTAACAGTGACAAAATAGAAAAAATTTATCTTAATATTTTCCTCTGAATACTGATGGTTTCAAAGGAATTTGAACTAGAGAATAGTATGGCAACAAATTTCTGTTTGTATTATAAATTGTATTTTCATTAGCAGGGCTTATAACCAGGAAATATTTATTTTATTAAAAATGTTTCATTTGATATATGTCTGTTATTTTTTATATTTTTATGTATATAAAATATATTAGGAACATAGTTTTAGTCACTTTAGTGTGGAAAATGGAAATTAAGTTTCTTCTGCTCCGCAGTTTTGTGCTTGTTTTATATTTCTTCTTCTTTATTCATTTGGTTTAAAACTTATTTTGAAATCACTACTCAAAAACAAATGTCTAGTTTTCATAGGAATGTCAGCTACCTGATTTTTATATGCCATAAAATTTAAGCTAACTTTCCGTAAAATAGGGTCTCTTGTTTACTTGATAATGTTTAACAGAGAGAGTTAAGTTACAAACAGTGTTGTTTTATGTAAAGAGAATAGTCATAGGAATGTACAATTAGAGTATACACTATGGAAGAATAAGCTTCATTCACAGAAGAGCTGTTACTAATATCACAAAACACTGGTAGTGTTTATCTACAAAATCTTCCTATGAAGCAATGCTCTAAGAGTTTTCAATTAAACTTTTTTCTGTATCATAATTCCTTTTTCACTATTTTATTCCTTATGCATACAGTTTTATCACATAGGGGTTTTGTAGTCACTAGATGTTTTAGGTTGGTTGCAGTGTAGCAAAGCAATCAACATCAAGTACTGAGAATAATTATCTTTGAAAACTAAGCTAAAATTCACATTCATGATAAAGTTGTAGAATGTACTTTTAAAAAGTGAGCAAACTTAGAATAAATATATTAAACAAAAGTATACAGTAGATTACAGCCACAGAGAAATTTTCTGACTGACACTTTAGATAAGAACACGTTTTGCACTTGACACCGTAAAGCAAGTGTCTAGGTATATCTAGTTGTTCAGAATCCACCATGAAGCTGAAAAGAAAAAAACATTTTTTTTTGAGATAATGAAAACAACTTTATAGACAAAGAAAATTCAAATTGTAAAGAGACACATCCTACTTTTGCTCTGTGTAATTTCTTTAGCCAGCATTTGAAGACTGAGACAAGATTGAGTTTTTCTTATGTAAGTATGGCATGTTACTGTAGTTCAAAAATTTTGTTATGAATGGTGCTTATCTTGGCAATGAGATTATAAACACCCTGATGATGAGATCATTTTGTTGTTTTAATTTGCCCAGTGCTGGCGGTAGTTAGAAAATTCCTACATAGGTATTTCAGGAAGATTGGGTATAATCAAGTGGATGTGTTGTGAATGATACTTTTAGTATATCTGCATTTTAATATTGGAAATGTTTTCCCCAATGAATATAAATATTTCAAAGACAAATGTAAGGCAGAGAAGTATGGTCGATGGGACTGATAAATGGACAAATGGAATGGAAAGGAATAAAAGTTTCTTACAAAGCAGCGAAAGTAACTTGCTGACAATAGGAACTTACTTTCTTGTCTATCATTTTTTTTTCTTGTAAACACAGGCCTTTCTCTTATGCAAGGGATTATTCTACTACAGATAGAATTTTCAAAGTCTTGTCTGGATGGTTCATGATGGCTAATGGGCCTGGGCTGCTGTCCCAGTGTGATTCATTTGACTGATTTTTTAATTTGAGAATTCACAGGAATACATTTCAGCTTATATTTTTATATATGGATGCAGACTGGCTGAATTGCTTTGTTTTTTTGAGATGTATCTTAGGAAAAGCAATCTTACTAGGAATCTTAATTTCTGAATTAAAAACCCACTGATCCTGTGTTTCTAAATGTAATAGCTGCTTTTTGTAAAATATTTTTCAGTTTAGAACTAAATATATTTTGGTTTTTCTTTTCAATCTTTACAGACATATATAAAATACCATATAATAAAATGGTATTAGAAGTCATATGGGCATGTATAACCCGTATTTGGCATTTATACGCTTAAGATGTTTGGGGAGCCTGTTGTATACATAAAACTTTAAATTTTCCTCAGTAAATGTTAAACTTTTATTTGAGGTAGGTTTAAAAATTATGTTAGAAGTCAAGCCTAAATTTTCTATCAAATCATAGTAATCAGTATTGAAATTATATGTGATGTGAAAATTAATGCACAATAGAGCATCAATTAAAAGGCATTAAATTATATTGAATTTCAGCTCAGAGAACAAGAATTGAACCAGTTTTACTTGTGGTAACTTTTCCTATCCAAATGTTCTGAGGAAAAGAGAGTGAAGAATATAATACAAGAACCAGTGCACAGAAAGATAGTCTAAGATACATGTGAAGTAATGTTGGGCCAGAAAATTCTATGAGGTTACTTTACATTTGCAGTGTTTGTGCCACTGTTAACTCGGCCTTCCTTTTCATATTCCTTTTTTTCAACCCTATTTTTGTTCAGGTGTTTTCTGACCTGAAAAGACTGAAGGCATCAATAGGAACAAATTTTATTTATTCTTTCTACCTTGTTGAACCAGTGGTTTCAAAATTGGGAGAGCTGAAAATGGCAGATACAAAAAATGGCAGATACAAAAATTCCAAGTGTCAGAACTTCTTGGAGATTTTTATGAGTTAAGACCAGTGAATATGATGGCAGATACAAAAATTCCAAGTGTCAGAACTTCTTGGAGATTTTTATGAGTTAAGACCAGTGCATTTATGATTATATCAAAATCCTTATTCATTTCTTAAATAAGGAAATATTTGTTTTGTGTTATACACTGTTGATAAGACTCCAGTTTCATTCTGTGTGCACAGGCTGCAGTGGTTATATGTACAGAATTTATATTCTAGGCCTTTTCTCCTTATTTAGAGCAGTGTTAGCTAGGTGAAAACTTTCTTGAATGAATGAACTGAAGGCAGTCTCTGATGTCTGTTCCTTAATAACGTGCTAACCACCCTTACCTGTACCTTTCCTCAAGCTATGCTATCTTTTAAACTGCATGAGTCAGTTGTGAATCTGGAGAAATTTCCAACATATTCATTATTTTCTTATTTGAGAATTAAATTTGAGCTATAAAGAAGAGAAATTCTACAAGTTTACCATTCTCTGGGCCAGACAAACCTGTTTTTAAGAGCTAGAGTAAATATACAACTACAGTTCGGGCTCAGATTATAATTCAGCCAACTTGAAAGCGTTTACAATTGATTGTCCTCTCATTTGGCTTTAATTTCAGAATTCACTTTCTCATCCTCTATTTGTTATCCAAACAATCAAAATCTATTGTAGTTTAAAATTCCTATTACTCCATTAAAACTGTTCTTTAGAGCAGTGATCTTGTCAAATCCAGTTTTCAGTATCATTTTTTTAGTGTCCCCAAGGAACACTGTACCTTGCATTTCACTCCCTCTTTGATACTCTACAGTGATTCTTCTTTAACGACTTAACAGTTTACTCCAAGCATCATTCAGACAGATGTCATTTCAACCAGCCAATTTTTATAACCCCAACCCCAAATTTTGTAATGAATAAATTTGATAAAACTGGTATTTTATATTCTTATAAAATTAATAAAAGATGCATATTTGTTTAGCCTGTATTTAAATAATTTAATTAGTAAGTGGTTAATTAGTGGGCCTCTGTGCCTTAATAATAAAGAAGGTTTTTGTCCATCTACCAAACTTTTACAGAGAGGGGTTTCCCCAGTCTTTTAGATATTTTGTTCTTACCCACATACTTTCTCATTAAGTCCAAGCTTCAACCATCCTGTTGCTGTGGTCAACTCCTAAAAACTGCATCTGCAAGTAGAGTCCCTAACTCTCTGGCCAGCTCCTACCTCCAGTGCTTTTGTTTCCTGGCCTAGCCTGGTTAATCTCTTTCCACTCCATAATGTCAGACTTTGTCCCTCCTGTCAGTTACTACTAATTAAAGCATGTCGTCATTTGCCTCATAATTTTCAGTAACTCCAGATTACTCTTCAAATACTTGAACAATGACATTCTCAATCTTAAAGTTGAGACCTCATCTCCATAAAAACTATTAGATTACAAAAGTAATCATTTATCTAAGTCCATACTGTTTTGAATAGCAACTACTATTTTTTTTCCTCTGAGCTATTTTCTTCCCCCTGCAAATATTTATTTTTCAAATTGGACAGATGGCACCCTACAGGTAGGGGCTGCAACTTTATTTTGTACCCTTTTAGTTTCCACCGCAGTGCTATTTTAGAAGTGGAGCTCAAATTGACTAAGCACATACTAAGCCTGGGGTCAAGTGCATCTTAATTTCTGCAAATATATGTATTTATTGGTGAATGAATGGGTAGAAGAACAAAAGGATTTTGGTTCTCAGTTATCTTAAATAAACTTTGGCCAGGCTTCTTAGACAATTTTATTTCAAACCTCTCCATCTTTCCTCCAATTATAAATAATATTTTAACAGCTATTATAAGAAAATATATCAACATAATTGCAATCCACATCAGTCATTTATTTCAAATTGTATTCAATATACTAAATTTGATAAGATAAAGAATTTGAAAATGTTTTGAAATACCACAGTTTGAATTGTACAAGCTTGTTAGCTAAAATTTATAAAATAACCAGCAAATCTCTAATGATATATTTAAGGTAGCCAGGAATATAAACAAGGCAAACTAAGGAATAAAGGCAAAAGAATAAATATCTCTTTTTTTCCTTCCCAAACTTTAAATTATTAATATATAAAGAAACAAAGAAAGTGTAATTGATAATGTTTATGGGGAAAGAACATACTATTAAAAACAAACAGATAATATTACACAGAAGTATTGTAAACCCAGAATAATTACCAGGAACTAGCATAGTAGATGTGAGCTCTGGAGTTTCCAAGAAATCCACATTACTTCTTTGGAATGTCTTGCTATAATTCATCTGAAGGTGGCTGTATAAATGATTACAGGTTGAGGTTATGCTTTTTTATTTACAACCTGAGTACAGCAGAGATTAAATCAAGATGGCAAAGTTTTGGTTGATCTGTACTATGTGCCTGGACGTAGACTTGTTTTAATGCTTATCTAGCTTTAAAGAAAGACTCAAGAATAACTTAATAATTGTATCAGAAATTAAGAAAAAAGTCAAGAAAGAAATATTAACTTCTACTAAGGATAATACAATAGGAGGTAGACTTTAATTTTCACAAAAAGTTAAAAAATTGGATAACCAAGAAAAAGGACTGTAAATTTCCTATTCCTTTAGAATAAAATGAAATTAAAGTCATCCATCTTAAAATATAAGTCTAGAGGCATATGGTTGAATAGGTATCTTTAAGGCACGCACTATTCTATGCTTGTAGTAAATTGAAGTCATTTTACCTTCATCCCTACACAAAATGCTTCTTCTCATTTTGGGTGCTGGGAATCAAACCTGGGGATTGAATTTAGGGCTTCATGACAAGTATTCTAGTATGGAGTTGTGCTACTCAGGCCCTCCAAGGGCTTTTTTCAAGCCACAAAATGAAATTTTAAGGTAAAATGTGTATCAACTAAATTTCTAGGTTTTCTAGAAATGGGAGTCAACACTGTCATATTTAATACCTTAAACTTATTGGAGAACTATATTTTTTCTGTATCATTTAAAAGTATCTGGAACTGTTTATATAATCTCAGAATAGCAAAAATGTCCTTCATCCAATTTTTGACTTATATATTTGTTATTTATTGCTAATCATTTTTAAAATTTCATCATGGACTTGCTTTTATTTTTGCCAAATAGTGTCCTGGATTTTACCTTTATTGTGTTGAAAGACATTTAGAAAAGTTAAGAGGATCTTAGATGTTATATGTAGTTTTATTCTAAATATAAAATAACCACTAAGCTTATAAAGCTGTACACCCTCATTACCTTCAAGTTCCTTAGAAACCCATGACTTGTATCTAATTGTTTGTTTGAAAACATCAATAAAATACTAAAACTCAAAGTGGATCAGTACCCAAGGTATCTGTGCTTTAAGAGGGAAGTGATTTCTAATCCATGAAGTAAATTTTCAAAAATGTGGGATTCAGAGTAATGGGTACATGTTTTAAGGTGAAATAAGTAAAATGGAATTTTTCCTACAAGTCTGAAAATTTCATCATCTATATTGTCCTTTTCCTGGTTTCACAAATCAGCATTGCTCATAACTTACCTATTCCACACACTGCTATTCTCCCAGAACTCATAAATTATGTAGCGAGATTCATTTGAAAGTCTCTGTATTGAAATACTGAAATGAAAAAGAAAAGGCCTGATTAGCCCCTGGAAATTAAAGAAGCACACTAACTTTTCTAATCAACTCTACATGTGATATGAAACATCAGTTCACATAGGAAGCAACCTAAATCGCTGCAGAAAATCAAATAGGTTTGTCAGGAACTGATTAGTTCAGTATGTCTGTCTGGCACAGATGTTTTTGGTATTGTTTTTTGGCTTAGCAGCACGCAGATAGTCTCAGCAAATACAACACATTTACAAAGACAACTTTTGTAAATTTTATTCATTTATTTGGAAAAATATTGAACATCTCATACCAGACTTCATAAAAATGAGAAGCCAGGACAACTTCCCCTTGCTCTCAGATGTAACTCTGTTGATTGGTCCTGTCAACCACTGTAGCTCATGTCAAGTTCCTGGCCTTTCTCCACTTGTGTGGGACAGCTTGGTGCTCTGTCTATGCCTTCTGGGCCATGTGGATCATACTGTGGCTCTGTAAACTGACTCTGTTTTCTGGCACATAATGGTTCTCTTTTATATCACACAAACACACTCATCTCCCACAACTTTGGATCAAATTTAAGAGCTCCATTTCTGGCAATAATTGCTGTATTTAAAAGTTGCTCTTCCAATTGGAGGAAGTTTGTCCCTTCTTATTCATTGATTATCCTGAGGAAAGGAGACTGGCCAAAAATACAAGCTGAGGCGAAGTCTGGATTTAATCCTATAGCAATGAGGAGCCCTTGGAGGACTTAAAACAGGGAAAGTACCATGGCTGGAGCTGTGTTTTGAAGGATCCTGCTGATGGCAGTGTTGGGGATGAGCAGAGAACGGTCGCACGGAGCAGAGGGAAAAGGTAGATAGGGAAGGAGCTTAGGTGAGAGATGATGAAGGTCCAAATTCACGTGGAAGCAAAAGGGAGGAGGGGACACGGTCATGAACTTATGGAAGATTGGGAGACGAAGATTCTTTAATTCTGAAAGTACAGTTTTTCAGGCAAATGCTAAATAATACATTCAGATTAAAGCGCAAGAGGTTAGAAAAAACTGGACTTTGAGCTAATAGACAAGAGATTTTGCCGTTAAAATACTGTAGAGGATTAATGTAGATTTGGGATTTACCTAAGTGTGACCAGCAGGTGGCAGTAACCAAACAGGAATTTTATTTTTTTCTTTAGCTCTGCCTGTAGTTCAGTGTTTTTCATAGTTGTTTATCTAATTTGGTTCATTAAAGCATTATGCAGCAAATATTATTATTAGTTCAACTTTCACTTTTTCTTAGGATAAGATACAAGCAGACTTTGTGATGGTCTCATTTCAAGAAATTCTTGGATGAGCTTTTTGAAGGACTCCTTAAAATCTCAGAAATGATCAGCCAATTCATGTGCATATATACTTTCTCCTGGGAAGAAAATCCATATCTCCCATTATGGTCTCAAATGAGTCTGTAATTTCCAAAGGTAATTGAACGGTATAATGGAAAAATTTCAGTCCATGAGTGGTTTCTTTAGGATGAAGTTTAAAATACTCAGCCTAGCATTTCAAGCTCTTCTTCAAGAGATTCCCCCAAATTAGTTCATTTATATTACTTATAACATTGAAATATCTACCACTATTTAGCCGGGCCTTTCATTTTCCTGACTCACCAAAAATATATAGGAAATTCACAAATTTTGGGGATAATATTCAAACTTTTAAGGATTAAAGAAGGTATTCTAGTCTTATATGGTGGTGGTTTAAAGACTGACACAACAGAGCGCCCATTATTCACTACTCATTAGCTGTATCACCTTGTATCACTTTGGGCCCATCGCTCCACTTCAGCTCCTCATCTCTGGAACGGTGATAACAGTTCAGTGAAAATTAGTCAGGACTTTCCCTTCCTTTCGGCTTCTGCCTTTCCCTGTGTGTGTGTGTGTGCCTGGCCTTAACTCACTGGGCCTAACCAATGAAGAAAAGGCACAAAAGGAGGGACAGGCCTCAACTCTGGCTACCATTTATTTTTTCTGTATAAATACTGATTTCTGATTAATGATTCAATGCACTATCCATTTTTTAAAATTGAGCCAAAGTATACTCTGTAGTTCAGGCTGGCCTTGAACTCACTATTTGCCAAGGCTGGCGTTAAACTCAAGGTGATCCTCCTGCCTCAGCCTCCAGAGTGCTAAGGATCACAGGCTTGTGCCACCAAACTCAGTAATTCTTAAGGAAATATGAGGGTTATTTCTTACAATCCATACTTACGTTTCCTGGGCCCTTGACATGGAGTTTTGAAAACATTCAAGTTCTAGAATTTCATAGCTGAGAGTGATTTCAGAAATCATTTTAATAGCTATGAAATTTTAAGCCAAAATACATAGCTTTAATAGCTTACTACCTTTATCAGCATCTTATCTACAGTTAGACTCTTAAGATCCTTCAAACTGAAAACCATTCTCTCTCATGTCAACCATGGTTCTGAGAACACATTGTGTATACCACATTTGTTTAGTCAGCTCCGCCTCATGGCAAATGGATTAAGATGATGATTAAAAACTAAGTTGAGAAAGAAGCATCAGTCGTGGAAAATGCATGTTAAGCATTTGGGGGTAGCTATAGTCCGAATGTATGTGTCGTCCAAAATTCTTAGATTGATGCCTATTCCCCCAGTGATGGTACTGAGAGGCGGGCCATCTGTAAGGGTGAGCTCATCTGCTGGCGCCTTGATCTTGGACTTCCCACTCTCTGAAACTGTAAACAATACATTTTTAATATTTATAAATTACTGTAAATAATAAATTTCTGTTATTTGTAGGAAAAAAACCCAGCATGAAATAAGACTGTGTGTGTATATATCATACATTGGTCCACATAAATGATTTAATTTTTTGACTAACAACTCTCTTTTAAATCTTAACTGAGTACTGTGGCCTCTGTCAATCTTCAAACTTCTGAGTCTCAGTTGGGCATTGGGACACATACCTGTAATCATAGCACTCTGTGAAGCTGAGACAGGAGGCTCACAAGTTTTAGCCTAGCCTGGACAACTCTGCAACTTAGGGAAACCCCATCTCAAAATTTAAAAAAAATGAAAAGGTGCTGAAAAAAAATACATGTATCAGTGCAAAGGCCCTGTGTTCAATCCTCCATATTGGAAAAAAAAATTCTGAGTCTTCTGGTCAAATAACCAACAAGGTAAAAACTTCTATAATTTAGTGCCTGCATTTAAGAAAGTAAGGCTGTTTTATAATTGGGGCAAGACCCAGTTTGACCACTGAAAGTCTAGGAATTTCTATTTGAAGGATAACTAAATACTGACAGGAAGTATTCAACATGCGTTTCAGAGTCAGATAAATGCAGGCAAGTTGTGTAACCCACCCGAACCTGTTTCCTTGTAAGCTGGACATAATTTATGCCTCTGATGGTTACTGGAAAGACCAGGAAAATGGATGCACAAAGCCTGATTTTGCAAATCCTCAACAGTTACTATTTCATATTACAGCAGCATTCTTTGTCTAACCATGGTGATGGAAAGCTAGCCATACAGGAGAAGAAATTGGGAAACTCTAATTTCCAGAGCTTTATTCTAAGAACAAAGTATGAAGTTATAGTGCTGGGTGTGTCAAAGCAAATGGCATTTGACCGTTCACCCACTTATTCAGGTAGAGAATTGCATTTGACTGATTGGTACATCTGAAAAATTGGACTTAGATGCACTGGTATATCGTCTGTCTTACATATATCCCATCTGTGCGTGGTGATTCTGTGACGCCCGTTCCATCTGATAGACTCTATGTTCCAGTGAAAAAATAGCTGAAGATTCAGCAATAAGAAGTGAATGAAGAACCATTAAGAAACAAACCAGACTTGCAATGAAGAGGAGAGGCTGAGAGAGTGTACTCATCTTACAGGAAAAGGATACTGTCCTTCCCTCCTCTTCCCAGCACAAGCTGACCAAGCTATTTTACGTGGACATTGAGAGGACAGTGTTTGCAGGACACAGCCCAGATCTCTGGACTCTCTTCTCCAACAACCTGTTCTCCTCCCTGCTTCAGAGCATGTTCCCCATGCACATGAGAGCAGAGCTTCTGAACCCTGAAAAAAAACTTTCCTGCCCTTTTTGTACATGTTGTAAAACTTCTAATCAATCCCTGAAACAGACTATCTTATGTCCTCACTAACCAAAAAAGGAGTTTATTGAGCTCTCCTTTCTGCAGTTTACACTGTGGGAGGTATAAATAAGCTTCATTTGCATTTTTCCAACTATTCAATTTTATTTTTAAATGAGTGGGCTTTTAAAAGCTACATATATTCTTGCTCTGGTAAATCCCTCTTGATTTATTTAAAAGAACTACAATGAGATTTTGATTTGCACCCTTCTGAACTGATGTGCAGCAGAACACAGTGATTCCTGTGTTCCTGTCAAAGGCACCATTAAGAAAAACATGCCATACACTTAAGTGAAATAAATAGGACACACACGTGTAAATACCGAATAGTTTCCCTGGTGTAAGAAGCTAAACGTGTAGATAAGGTTCAAATTTGCATAATTGACAATGTGAAACAGGAAGAAAAGGGCTTAAAGGAGTAGGGGAAGTGGGAAGAGGAGGGGAAAGGAAAGGAGGGAAAAGAAAAAATATGGAGAAAAAGATAAAAATGGAAACAAAGTCTTTGTAAATAGGGAAGGGTGGAGGGGGTGACGGGAGGGCAGGGGTATAGGGAACAAATAAAAACCAAGACCTGTCAGATCCCAATGATGAATGTAACTGTACCATATACCTAAAAAGTACCGATAAACTTAAAAAAAAGAATGTGCTATGAATGCTGCTGAGCAAATGCTCAAACTCTAGAGAGGAATTGACCAGGGAACCACAGTATATGCGGTAGTGGCCTCCATTCGTGTTTCTGCTCGTCTGTTGATGGGAGACATCCAGCCTCTTAGCTGGAATAGTGTACTGCTGTACTATGAATAAAATAGTCATTGGAAAGAGCAAAGTACTCAGGGACAAAGTATGTTGTTTATACACACACACGATGCACACCAACACGGATGCACATCTATTAAAGAACTTTCCCAAAGCAATATTTGAAAATCATTAGGGAATTTAGTTTAAACAACTTCAAAAGGTAAGGGTAGATTTCATTGTGACAGAAGCCACTCTAGGGACGGGGTGGACAGGCTTCTGTGCCTTTAGATTGTTGCCTATTAGAAGTGTTATTTATGATTTTTCTAAGGCAGTCAGGAACATAAAAGTAGTTTTTTGCAAAAAACTGATTCTTCACTTGGGCCTCCAGATGCCCAATCTTAATTAAAAGCAGAACAAAGCCTGATCTTCATTTTGTATTTTCGTTAGCTTAATACTTTGAGTCAAATCCCTTCGCAGCTCCACATTTAGAGTAGTTAATCATTCAGGAAGTGTCTGTTTAAAAGTTGGTAAAACAAGGGCTGTGGATTTAGCTCAGTGGTGCTGCACCTGCCTTGCAAGCTCATGGTCCTGCTTTCGATCCCCGGTACTGGGAAAAAAGTCTAAAAGTTGGCAAAACAAAGTTGATTAGCACCAAAGTTATGTAATATTGTCCTCCTTGAAGAAGTAGGAATCCATGATAAGGGATTTACAGGAACATTCAGCTAACCTCAGACATCTCCAGCCATTGTTCTAACCTTGTGATCCCCCTGGACTCCTGGAAAAGCAGAGCCCTACTTTTTTTTTTTTCCCTGGTACCGGGGATTGAACTCGGGTCCTTGCACTTGCAAGGGAGGCCACCGAACCGCTGAGCTAAATCCCCCACCCCTTCTACATGACTTTTGAAACCACCACAGAGACAACCATTTCATGGGAACAGAAGTACTTTTCAGGTCACAAAAATTCCAGAGCTATGAAACCAGAACTGAGAAGATGATCGAGTGGACCCTGGTCCACCTCAGTAACCCTTAAAAGCTGCCTTCCCACATTTGTGGGTGGGTCAGTCTGATCTTCATCCAAATGCCCCCTCTAGTTCCTCAAGCTGGAGTCCTTTTCTAGTTTTTCTTACTCTCTTTTGTTAAAGGTTTGCCTGACTTTCCTCAAGCTAAGGTAAGGGTACGATTTTAATTTTTTTTGATATAGGATTTCACTATGGAACTTAGGCTGGCCTTGAACTCATGACAATCCTCCTGCTTCAGCCTCCAGCAAGCTGGAATTTCATGTGTGCACCCCCACGTCCAGCCTTGCTTTCTAATTAAAGCTTTTTCCTGCCAATTTGTGCTTTAGTTTTAATTTCCATTTCTACTAAAGGATCCATGCTAGCCAGGGCAGTTGTGAATGCAAGTGAATTTAGGGTCGGGTTCCGGAACTGACAGAACCCGCAGCTGGGCATGTATTTCTCAAAGGGAGAGTTGCCAGGTCTAAAGCACAGTACAAATGAACAGATAATGTTGGGTCATTCACTGACAGCTGTGTGTAAGGCAGAGTTGTTTGGCTAAGGGGAAAAAATAGTAGTGATGATATGGATTCCAGGATCTGAGTCCAGTGTGAACATAGGGCATGATAAACATCTAGCATTTGGTGAGATACTCATTAGAGAGTCTCTGCAGGTTCTTGGTTAAGGCAATTCTGCAATTGTTTCCGGAAAGTTATTCTAGTAGCTGTTTATTAGAGTGGTTGGAGTAAAAGACTTCACAAGAGGAGTAGAATATTTCTGTAGCTTCATGTAATGGAAACCCGAGCTGAGTGGTGCTCACAGGAAGAGGGAAGAGCTACTGCTGCTTTTATTAAACAAACAAGATCTGAAATTATGACTTCAGAGACCTCTGCAATTTCATAATGGGAGAGTGATCATCAGGCCATGGGGTGTACTGCAATCAAGGCTGGATGTCCTGGAGTTCAGGCCTCATCTCATCTACAGACATGATTTTAAACAAGCGCTGGCTGCTTGGATGCCAAAGGAGGAATTTCAGTACATCTGCAACTCTTATTCAAATTGTCCTCCATTTTATTTTTTCCTTGGGTCCCTAAATCTTCTCAAGATCCCAGGATCAAACAGCAATCACTAAAACTCTGCAAAGGACATCACCCAGAAGGCTACACTGCTCAGCATAATTTAACCTGATGATTCCCAAATGCCTGTCTTCCTGACCCATCCTCATGTAAAGTGGAACCTGGCAGGGTTGGATCTGGTCAGGAGCACTCACCGCAAGCACCCACTTTGGGCGGAAGCACTCTCCACATAGTGCTTCAGAGCCTGCTGGAATTCTTCCAGGTCCTCTTCTATCACAGACATCTGACGCTGCACCAGCATGATGTGCTGTCGAGGAAAGGGCAGGGTGACCACTTTAGCTGTTGTGGAATTTCATTTGAAGTGACGCCATTACCCATCCTGTCCCTCCTCACAAAGCAAATGACAGCCATCCAAAAAATGTGACCAAGGAAGGCCATGACTGTTCTAAACATAAAATTATAGAAAGTCTGTAATATGGATGGGATTTTTTTTTTTGTCTCTAGTACAGAAGCTAAAAAGAAAGTGTCCTTTACACACTTCCTTTTTAAAAGCAGTGATTCAATTGGAATGACTAGAAGGTTTTAAGATTACATTTATATCAGAATCTTTGGGATGGGTCCAAGGCACTGGTATTTTTAAACACCAGTCTGTGTGTCTCTAATATGCAACAAAGCTGAGATCACTGTCCTAGAGTCACTTTTGTACACTGCATCGCTTCAGCATCCTGGGTATTTTGTGATATGAGACATATTATGGCAATCATTACACAAAAGCAAATTTCAAAAAATATGTGTTCACTGACACATTTCAAATGATGCATTAATGATTACAGGATTCTCAAATATATTACCCATTTACAATAGGCTCCATTCAAAAGGCCATGGCATTAAGTGGAGTCCCTGTTTAATGGATCATAGTGGGTTGGATGCTTCGTTTAAGAAATCCTATTACTAGCAGAGCAATTGTGGGTTAAAGATTTCCCTAAAGATCTCGCTGTGAGTTTCTCATGGAATCTTAGGTCTCAAAATCAATCCTTTCCTCTTTTTTAAGGATTGGGAGAAAAATTATAAAGATGCAAATAAATGTAGGAATTGATGTCAGCCACAAAAGCACAAAAACCAACAAAACACAGAAATAATCTGAATATTAAGAAAATGACTTTCGCAAATTACCAGCCACATAGCCAAAGAGTTAGAATTAAACCCGTAGTCTCCTGTCTCCTATGCCTATGAATTTCTCAGTTTATGTTGTAGCTACTATTGAACGGACACCACTTATAATGTAGGTAGGCACTCAGTATATTTAAAAAATATTCCCACTTTGTGAGAAGTAAATACTAGGTCCTGGATTCTGGGTATACAGTGAAGTATCAAGATAGAATTTTTGTCTCCATAGGGATTGGTAAAAGAAGAAACAAACCTAGAGAACTATGTCTAAGAAATGACATTAGGTATAGCCACTGGCACATGAAACTGACTATATGTAAATTGACCAGATGACTACCAATTTGTGGGGGGAGCTGTATTACCAAAGTAATTGTGATCCTAGTCTTAAAATTCCTTGACTATTTAGCCCACAAAATTATATTTAGACCAACAAATACATATGAGCAGGAAGCAGGCTATGGATATTTCAGTCCCTCCCACCACCCAAAAGGGGCAATACTCTTCCATGGGCTGTTTCAGATGGTCATGGAGAGTAATGGACAAAGAAGAGCCTTTCAAAAGAAAAATGAGGGGCTGGAGATTTAGCTCTGGTTCTGCCGCCTGTCTCACAAGTACAAGGTCCAGAGTTCAATCCCCAGGGGGGAGAAAAGGACAATGGGCAGCAGAAATCTCTCCAGAATAGAGATCCAGGGTCCAATACCAAAACTGCTAATTGAAAATTACCTTCCAAATATTAATTTACTGTTGCAGTGAATGCTGTGCATTTCCCATTCACTCCATTTCTGAATGGGATTTTTTTGTGGCATTTATCCTGATCCAGTTTTATGCCTGTATGTTCTGTCTTCCTGTCTGTTTTTCTCTTTATTTCTCTCCCTGTCTCTTTTTCTGCCTATTTCTCTCCTCCTCCCTCCCTCTCTTTCTTCTCCTTCTTCCCAATCTCTCTCTCTCTCTCTCTCTCTCTCTCTCTGATATCATTTACTTTATTTTCCACTAATTTGTCAGACCCCAGAAGACTATATCCTCACCTTACAGTCAAGACAGCTTTATCCAAAGATCTTGGATTTAAACTAAAAGCAGTAACTAGGAAACTTTGGGTGGTCTCCCTTGTGGAGGGGTCTGTGTGTGTGTTCTATATATGGAAAGAAAGATGAGAATGAATCCTTAAGGATTAAAGGAGGACTGTGTGGACTCTAAACTGTTAGTTTCTCTTCTTGCCAGATACATTGCTAGACCCTGTATTGCATCCTCCCTTACAGTTAGGTTAATCAGCTGATGGGTTCTTCCCAAAAGATATGCATACTATGTGCCACTTTTGAACAAAGATTTAAGAAGAATGTGAGCCTCCTCTACATTCTTTTTTACTTTTCTGTTGGCAGGATGAAGACCTATCTTAGGGATGGGAGAGAGATAGATGAAATGACCATGGGTTCCTGAATCATTGTGTGGACTGTTAACTGGACAAGGAATAAACTTTTATTGTATCAGGACCATTTTACATTTAGATCCATTTCTCCTCATAGTCTAGACACCTGGATGAGTTCAATAATTTATTTGACCTTTGCTTTATTTCCTCTCAGGATCACGAATTAAGAATCGGAAGATTCAAGGCTATAATTGTCTCCTAAGTTTCTGTGGTGAACAACCAACCCTCTGTATGACTCTCCTAGGAATCTATTTTTTTTTCAGCTTTAATTGAGTTTATTGGTACATTTTAGGGATACAGTACAGTTACATTCATTGTTAGGATCTTGTACCTCTACATGACAAGTCTTGATTCTCATTTTTTCCCCTTACCCCTGCCCTCCCTTCACCCCCTCCTGGAATCTATTTTTTATATTAATAACTAAGTAGAATTAACGATAATCACTGCCAAAATAATGGTGGACATGGCTTTCTCTTAGAAATGGTGAGGATTTCTTCACTGGGCATTCAGAAGATTTTCATGGGCTTCCTAATGAGATATTTAATATCCACCTATTCCACCATAAATCTTTGTATCTGAGGGCAATTCTTATGAGATCCATCAGAACAGACTGCAAAAAATGACAAGAATCTTTCACTACTCTCTGAACCCATACCCTGTGAAGTATAACTCTGTTCCTCCCTTCAAGGCATGGATTCTTGTCCCCTTCCTGTAGATCTGGAATGGCCTTTTAATTTGCTTTGGCTGCCAGGGTGTCACAGAACTGACAGGTACCAGTTTCATGTTAGGGCCCAGGACACTTATTAGTTTCTACTCTTCTCTTGGATCCCCAAGTTTGTCATATGAACAAGCATTGCTAGAGTAGGGGTCAACAAACTTTCTTTGTAAAGTTTTAGCAAATATTTTATTTTATTTAAAATTAATATTTATTTCTGTAAAGAAAATATATGAACATGATTAAAAATTTAAAAAAGAGTAAGTTTTACTCAGTGGAAATTGTGTCCCAAAGCTATTCACTTCTTCGGCACAGAGGAATTACTATTGTCAGTTGTCTTCTGAACCCTTATAGAGCTATCCTGTGCATGGAACTGTGTTCTATTCTGGGTAGAACTCTTCCCATATTGTCTTCATTTGCCTTTTTTCACCTAACAAAATATATTGGAAAGTATTTTATAGCAGTACATGTAAAATTGCTTCATTCTTTTTTGCTATTTTGTTTCATGTTTCATGCATTTTAATGTCCACAAAGCTTTCCATTACATAGATATACAAAAATATATTTTATATACACCCTACCATTCATGCTTAGCCTATTTTTTCATCTTCTAACTTTCACAATATTGCAACAAATAACACTGTAACTATGTCATTAGAATGCATGTAAGATTCATTTTTAGAGATGAATAGTTAAGCCAAAGTGTGACTTTTGCTAGCATCATATTAAGTGGGAAAAAGCTGAAAGCTTTCCCTCCAAAATCAAGAACAAGACAAGGCTATTCTCTATCACTACTACCCTTCAATATAGTTCTTGAAATATTAGCCAAAGCAATCAGACAAGAGAAAGAAATAAAAGAGATAAGTATAGGAAAGGAAGAAGTCAAATTATCATTATTTGTAGATGACACGATCCTCTACATAAAGGACCTAAAAGTTCTACCAAAATACTTAATACCAAATTCAGTAGTGCAGCAGGATAAAAGAAAAATCAACACACACAAATTAATAGTATATTTGTACACCAATAATAAACTCACCAAGAAAGAAATTAGGGAAACAATATCTTTAACAATAGCATCAAGAAAAATTAACCTAACCTAGGAATTAACCTAACCAAGTAAGTGAAAGATCTCTACAATAAAACTGCAGTACTCTGAAAGACAAGATCAAAGAGGACATCAGAAAATAATCGATATCTCCTGTTTCTGGATAGGCAGAACACATACAGTCAAAATGGCCATAACTTTCAAAACTGATGAACAAACAGATTTAGCACAATCCTAACTAAATACCAATAGTGTTCCTCATATAACTAGAGAAAAAACAAGCCTAAAATTCATATGGAACCAGAAAAGACCAAGAATAGCAAAAGCAATCCTGGGCAACTAGAGCTGGGCAAAAGGAATCACAATTCTAGATTTCAAGTTATAAATTATATTACAGAACTATAGTGATAAAATCAGCAAAAACAAAACCAAGAGACAAAAAAAACCAAAACAAACAAAAAACAGGCATGTGATGGCAAACAATAGAGGATGCAGAAAAAATTCCAAGCACATTCAGCTACCTGATCATTGATAAAGGGGCCAAAAACTTATTCTGCAAAAAAGATAACGTCTTTAACAAATAGGGCTGGGAAAACTGGCTATCCATATGCAGAAGATTGAATCTAGGCCTATCTCCTCACCATGTACCAAACTAAAATAAAAATGGTAAAGCATCTAATATTAGAACAGAACCATTTAATCTGCTGGAAGACTAAATAGGTAAAAGTCTTGAAGTTATAGGTGGAGGAAGGACTTTCTGAATATCAAGAATCAACAAAGGAGATAAAATCAGATGAAAAAGCTTTTACACAGCAAAGGAAACAAGAAACAGAGTGAAAAGACAACATGCAGAATGGGAAAAAAAACTTTCACTAGCCATCTCAAACAGAAGACTAATATCTAGAATATAGGAAGAACTAAAAAAGGTAGACCCCTTCAAAATAAAAGACCTAT